GCCTTGCATGCGGCATCATGCAGGGGCTTTCGAAGCACGGTGACATGCGTCATCAAGCCGGGAAGCATCAGCCTCCTGCTCCTCCGAGCCCTCCACATGCACAAACATGAGGAAGTCCTGACAGGCCAAGTAAAACGAAGCATTGAAGTCCAGAGGCCTGCGCAACGACAAACATGGAAGGTCACCAATGGACCAGCCTCAACGCCGAAAGCCCGATGTTTGAAGGATCTGCGTTGCAAAACCGAAAGAAAGCAGGATTCAGCCCGAATAATCGGAGTCAGAACCCTCAACCCCCCCTGAACCCCACAAATTGAGCCGTAAAACCAACATCCCACAAGCCAAACAATCATGTCGTTACATGGTGGAGGCAACAAAGAGGTCTCCTCGTCCTCCTCGTCAGACCCGGCCACGTTCAAGGAGGCCTTGCATGCGGCATCATGCAGGGGCTTTCGAAGCACGGTGACATGCGTCATCAAGCCGGGAAGCATCAGCCTCCTGCTCCTCCGAGCCCTCCACATGCGCAAACATGAGGAAGTCCTGACAGGCCAAGTAAAACGAAGCATTGAAGTCCAGAGGCCTGCGCAATGACAAACATGGAAGGTCACCCAATGGACCAGCCTCAACGCCGAAAGCCCGATGTTTGAAGGATCTGCGTTGCAAAACCGAAAGAAAGCAGAATCCAGCCCGAATAATCGGAGTCAGAACCCTCAACCCCCCTGAACCCCACAAATTGAGCCGTAAAACCACACATCCCACAAGCCAAACAATCATGTCGTTCCATTCTGTTGCCTCTGTGGCTTGGGCGGTTTATGGTTTGGGATCTGGGGTTTCACCGTTGGGTCAGCCCATTTCTCAAGTCCCCGGCGCGGGAGATGATACCAGCCCCTGCCGAGGGCTCCCCCGCGAGTCCACCATGAACCCCAGGTCCGAAAAAGTCATCCTTCTATTTAAACCTACGCTCTAAATCCCAAAAAATACCACGAAGACTAAACCCCTAAAAGGTGCTAAAGCCTGCCAACATCAAATCCTAAAGCCCGAAGTCGAGATATAATTCTTCGCGTCCTCGGGCTGGCCTGCAGGGCACCAAGTGTTCCGGGTTGTAGGGATTAGGCTCAGGGCTGCGAGTCGGGGGTTCAGGGTTTAAGGTTTCGGGGCCGAGGGATCTTCTGGTCGTGCCCGGGCCCCGAAGGTACTCCGAAACCTCGGATTGTGCGAGGACACCACCCGGTACTTCTAAAAGGTGCAATTCAAGTCAGTTAGGCTTTTCTGGAGGGGGCTCGGTTTCTAGGTAGGGATGCGGGAATAGATTAGAATGTTTAGGGTATTGGCTTGTTACAGCAATGGGCTTCAAGATTCAGAGAGTTGAGCCCTGAACCCTGAAACGTTCGGGGTAGCAGGACGGCCGCTGGAGGGTTGGGGGTGTCTAGACCTCGCGGCGCTCACGGCTCGAAAAGCACTAGGCCTAACACAAGGACTTGAACAATTCCGACATCTGTTTTGGCGTAAGGGCCATAGGCTATAGGGCAGTCATTGCGAGAGTCGAAGGAACTCCCACATGCCGGGTAAGGGTGTCAAGACTGCAAGATCTAATTACCCTGGGCTTTAGGAAGTTTGGAGGCTGGAAGCTCAGAACTGAAGGCGGGGGCGTTTCAGCATTCATGTCAGCATTCCCTCGGCCACTTTCTCTTCGGCAACAAAAGCCGGAAAACACCCGACGCCGAACACTCGTGCAAAAGTTCAGGCAGCAGACTCGGAAAAGCAGATAGCATAAATTTGCCACCTAAGATCGGAATACCCCATGGACAATGGATCTCCCTGAATCCTGCTACCCTAAATCCTAAACCTCGTCTATCCCCATTCTCCGAGGATACGGCCACCCATCTCAGACCTGTCCGGGATTCGAGAAATAAGCTTGGGACTTGAAGGAGTCGGGTTTGAAGACTTCGTTAGGGCCAAGGTTTTTGGCTTCATTGAGAGTTCAAGGTTCCGAGATTCAGTTTTCCCGATTAAGCTTGCAAGCATAGAAGAGAGCAGCGGCCACCAATCCTGCGAAGCCTTGACTTAAAAGGTTGGTTCCTACAGGCTCCGGAAACCGTTAAAAACGCAACTCCTTCTGTTGGAATTCGTAACAGAAACCCGACATGTTTGAAAGCCATCTTGTGTCCCAGTAGGTCAACACTCCCCTACACAGTGCCTCAAAGGAGCTCTCAACACGGTATTTAGGAAGTGACATTAACAAATTCTCAGGGGTAGGCACGAAATGCCACGAAAGCAACATCTTGCGACATCTCTGTCCGACGAGGATCAGTGCCTTCGGTCAGGGTGATCTGCTGGGCCAGGATCAAGCCGATTGGCAAGAAATGGTTTAAGGCAGGAGTTTTCGAAATTAGTGAGCCACCGACGTACTCTTGTGGGGATCAAATTTTCATATGTGCAGAAACACGGCTTAGGATGCACTTCCCCCGCACATACACCGACCATTGAGCTCCAAACATGTCGCAGCCATCAGAGTCGTCCATTGGCGACGAAACCAAGCATGCAGGCTGTGATGTCAAGTCTTCTACAGAGAGAGCCCCATACCTCTTCACTAAAACATCGTTTACAGTACCTTACACCATGGAGCTTCGACTTGGAGTTGGAAGCTCGTGATATGGTCGTCTGGGTGTACGCGGGACAACTTTGGAGAACTGCTGCAGATCATTGTCATGGGGTCGTCTGCTGGGAACACACTGTCACACAGTTACTCTGATGGGGTATGACGACTGCAGAAGGACACGTTTCCGTTTTCGTAATCTTCGGAGGTAGCAAAGCGCCTCATTCGCATATCCTCTACAGTTTACAGTATGTGGTGCACCACGACAAGAAATCGCGGCTGCGGAATGCCAGCAGATCGGGATTGCGACAGTAAGGACGTTCGAAATTTCGGCTTCGCAGTTGAGAGCGAATCAAGGAATGCACGGTTTGAGATTTGAGCGGGCTACAAGACCATGTCATGCATGGGGGGATGACGGAAGAACTACGTATTGATGTTCCAACATACAATGTGGTGTGCTGATCTTTGGGAATTTGGGTCTAGGAATTGGGTTCAGTCTACGTTGCCGCTGTTCGTGATGCGTTCATGCTTGGCTCCGTGCCGTCCATCTTTATTGCTACATGCAGCAATGACGAGCTTTGCACACTACTTGAGACTGACATGCTCTGATGCTGCGAGTTCTCCTCCTGGGAATCTGTCGATACAACTGACTGCAAGTGCAGGGAGCTGATGAGCACAAAACGGACTCGAGGTTTAACAGGACTCCTGCAAATCACGTTCTCAAGACACTCTCTGATCTGAACCAGCGGAGATGGAGTGGGGGGATCCCCTCGCAAAAACCAAAACCGGGCACATGGTCGGAAGCCCGCTACTGAAAGGACTGCAACGAGAACACTACCCCTGTCTTTTTCCACTCCGGCCGGCCAAAAAAATCGACTGACGAGCTATCGGCGTTGTTATCTGTGAAATGATGCTATGTGGCTCCGCAACAATGTTTAGTTTTCGGCGTGCCCAGCTTCAAGCGTGTCTGCTTCCGATCAGATTCCAAAGGGCACATCGATAACTTCGACTCCCACAGCGAAATGTGTTTCCGAGGCTCCGGATTCGGAATGTGCCCCACGGGCCACGTACAATTGATTGAGTGCTTGAAATTTCGCGCCAGCTAGGGTATGCCTATGCACGTGTATGTAAAGTACACACAGACACACACACACATATATATATATAGATACATACATATACGTATACATATACATATACATATACATATACATATACATATACATATACATATACATATATATATATGTATATATATATACATATATAATGTGTCTGTGTACGTACGAACATGTGCATCCATCCATATATGTACATACATCTACATGCACGCATGCATCCGTACAGCACGTAGTAGCATGTACATACTTAGACAACTTAGATACATGCGATAGATATGATACATACATACATACATACATACATAACATTACATTACATTGCATGGCATTACGTTACATTGCATTGCATGGCATTGCATGGCATTACATTGCATTACATTGCATTACATTGCATTACATTACATTACATTACATTACATGCACACATGCACACATGCATACATGCATACATACATACGTGCATGCATGCATACTTACACACATAGCCATGTGCGTACGTACATACGTACGCACATCTCTGCACGAAAATATCTATATCCATACGAGTCATGAGTGTACACTTGTGCGCACACATACTTGTACAGGAACTCTGCCAAACCCTGGACCTCCAGAGCCCCAATTCCTGACCTTCGAACGCAGTAGACTTTCTGCCGAGCTCAAAACCAAAGCTCAAACTGTAACAACAGGGTCACTTACAGTCTTAAGAACTAGACTCGACCCTGTTCAAACATCTTATCTCAGAAAACCAGGTTTCTGGAGCCGTGCGTTGCCTATTACTTTCCAGCGGCCACGGCAGCCAGCTTCGCCGCCTTGGAGACAAATCTTCTTCGGGCCGGCTGTCAGGTTAAGGGTTCAGAGACCTCGTCGCGGTAAATACGACGACTTGAAGGAGGCTCGAGCCTAAGGAGCCCCCATTTTCGACATAGATGTGAGCGTCTGCGAATATTCTTAGTCTTGCACAGGCCAGCTGCACCCGAGGGATCTGCAAACCCGGTGAAAGACAAAAGAAAGAGCCGTCCACTCCAGTGCTCCTGCCTTCTCTTTGACGTCCGACATTCCTCCGATCATGTAGAACGCAGCCTGCACAAGTAAGTTGCTTTCGGGGTGAGCGGCTCGATTTCTGGGTTCCTGACGGCATCACGACCTGATGATCGGATTCAGACTCTGGGCCCTCCAACCTTGTGCACACGCTGCGTGAGGAGTGCTCGCAAAAGCAGCTGATCGAAAGCCGCGCATCCCAAAGCCACAGAAACAGAAACAAAGCTTGCGTCAGGCTTCACCGCCGCTCAGCCCCCAGGCAGAAGTCTTCTGATTAACTCAAGGACTCGACTTCTGAAACCTGCAGCACCCCGAAGCTCCTCTGGGATGTCGTCGCAATTTCCGGACAAAACTTCTTCGAAGTCGTTGATCCTCGGAGCAAAGGCATCGGGAAGCAGAAGTCAAAGCAGCTTCAAAACCTGAAGCTCTTGAACAGCTGAGGGGCTTACGTGTCTTATAAGGCCACCGATGTTTCAGGGAGTGAACGTCCAAACCTCCAGAGTGCTACCTACAGCCAAGGGCCCAAGATGCTACAAGTTTCTGAACCCTTGCCCCCCTTGGAGCCAAAGGCAATGCGGCGTACCTGTTGTATACTCGTCTGTTACCACTATTTGGCCCATGAGGGACCTGGGTAAAATCAACCAAAACAAGCCTCTTCCAGCCCGAAATCCTAAACAAGGGACCGCCCTCAGCATTCCCGAAAATTGAATCCACGAACTGCGCATGAGCCCCAGACGTGGTCTCCAGGTCCACGAAGGCCCCGGGGGTGCCCGTGAAGATCTCGGCCACGAAGAAGGGCTGTGACAGGAAGCGCTGCACCTGCATAAACGCTTGGTGGGTTCGTTCAGTTCGTAGGTTTTGGAAGGTTTTGGAGTTCAGGACTTCGGGCTTTGGCATGGGAACCTCGAGCTTCCAGGGCGAGATACTGGAACTTGTCGGCTCCCTTGAAATGAAGTCTTAGGCCACTGCAAGAGCCAAGCTTCGGGCATCCAAAACCCGCCCAAAGCCTTAGCCAAAGGAGTCCTGAATGCCTCAACCCAATCCAAAACAACGCCGCAACAGTGAGTGCTGCCTTTCGGGCTCGTGCCACCGTCAGCTTGTCTTCCTCGCTAAGCTCGTCCATGCCAAGAATGGCAATGATGTCCTCAGGAGGGCAATTTTTGCGCGGCTTTGAAAGGCCTGACCTTCTTGACACTGACGGAGAGTCAACATGCCTCTTACTCCTATAACTGGAGCCTCGCCCCAGTGTTCGGGCTTTCGGATCAGCGCCATTACTGTTCTTATTGCTTTTATTCTAGTCTTGGTTTTTCAGCTGATAGTATAAGGATGATGCCATTGAACTGTTTGGCCGAGTGACTCCCCGTGAGCCTGAACACTATTTAGGATTTCTAGGACTCTAGGAATTTCCAGCATCAGAAGGTAAACCAGAAGTTAAGAAGCAATGGAAACGTCACACTGGTGTCCTGCAGGGACTTATAGTCTTGGAGGATCTTCTGCGTGCTTCGTGCGATGTCGTAATGGCGCTGGCCCACAATGGATGGGTCCAACATACCTTGGAAGTCAGAGAGCTAAACGCGACCGAAGGAGCCTCTGTAGCTTCATTGCTTAGAGTCAGTGCGACAATACTCGGCAGTGATACCGCTTTCTTGTTGAAAGCAAGCTACGGGAGGTCGAGTCCAGTGGATCCACTGCGGGGTAGATTCCCAACTCGGCGATCTGCCGCGACAGCACCGTCGTGGCGTCCAGATGGGCGAAGGTAGTAGCGGGGGCCGGATCCGTGAGGTCATCTGCCGGCACGTACACCGCCTCACCAGACTTACAACACTGGCCCGCTCATGAAACGAAAGGCGGTCGCCGTCCGAGGTGCATCTTTTGACGAGAGCTCATAAAACTTGAGATTCGACGAAGCTTATGATAATTGCGGTTGAAAGAAACAGAGCACTTGGACCAGATGGCCTGCACCGACGTGATGGAGCCCTTCTGCGTGGTCGTAATGCGCTCCTGTCGACGGCAAACTCGTGAAAAAAAACATCCGAAAAGAATCAACAAAGCCGGACGACGAATGCCATCCTCGTGCCGGGGAACCGGGCCCGAATGCTCCCGGTCCCATTGTCTAAGGCATCTGGTCTATCAATCGCCTTCTAGCCTCGGGGATCTGCTCTCCAAAAACCCCCCGAATCACAAGTTTTACTATGTCTGGCTCCATGTTGGGGCCATATTAAACACGATCATGTTTGTCCGTATTAGGGCTTTTGTTGTAGCAAAAAATGTAAAATTGTATCCAACAAGGACCCAGATGTACT